TAAAAGACCCATAATAGCTACACTATTAGCTCTCTCTTTAATTTGTTTGCAACTGAACGGATCCACTCCACTGAACTATCTGTTTGGTGTGTGTAATGTCATCTCGTCCTTTGGTCTCTACGTCCATATTGGACAAATGAACTTCGGTAATCAGTTTAGATGGTATGAATTGGAATATGCAGGACAAGCAGAGACAGATAAAAGAAAGAGCAGCATAATGTATGTATGTTATATGACAGCTGTTGAAGGAGGTCAGTGTTGATCACGCAGCAGCAGTAGATGCTTGCATCACTCAGACTCTGTAAATGAGTGCCTGGAACAGAATTTTTGATGCTGTTTTTTTTTTTTGGACGCAAAAAAAATGACGCAACCCCTCTACGATTTGTAGAGGGGTTGCGTCATCCTGAATTCCACCCTTCATTGCTGTTTATTGTAGGGATGATAGGAGAACCATAACACACAATCTCCCTTTTTCGATTTTTTGTGCTTTAAAACATAGTGAGTGTTTTAGCCTCTACATAGTTGCTGTCCTGCAGCTGTTCCTGACCTCTCTGTACGCGCTCTACTGTCGTTAAAGAGGTTGTGTGATAAGGGAAGACAGAAGAAGAAATTCTACCTCGGGTGATCAATACAATCGTTTTTTTTCTTCATTTAAATCACTCCCTTATGTGCATGTTTGTCCAGGCAGGGCCAAAAACAATCAATGTGAATGCTACATTACAGTTCGGCACAAAAACATATCAAATGTTTTGGAAGACGTGTCGGTTACAGTATCTGCTCAGTTTGCAGGACACACAAACGCGCCCATTTCCACATACAGTTAAACATTCACACAACTGACTGTGTTTACCTTTCTGTGGATTACACAGGAAGACCATGTGTGTTGTGTTTTCATTCACATAATCAAACACACACACACACACAGGATAGAATGTAATTGCACACACCCTTGATATATTATTGAAATGGAAAAAGGAGGGCTGAACAAGCAGAGAGAAATAAAACACAGAACAGTACAGGAAGACTGTTGTTCTGTACACCTTTCTCTGCACTGAAAAATGCATGAAGTGAGACTAGATGGCTGTCAGCTTGTAGAGTGAGCTTTATTTAACACACACATAACGATAAGAATGCTATCATTACCTTGCTCTCTATCTCACACTTAATATAGCCAGTGCTCTTTTTCCTTTGATATGAGTGCAACGACCGCTTCTGTCGACTGTCATTGACTCCAGTAATTGCCCAAGCCCTCAGTCTGTCATTGAAGGGGGATAGAAACACAGTCGAGCTGTTGTCAAGGTGCTAGAAAGTAAACAAGTACTCAATACAAGTTCATTTGATGATTCTGCAGTACAGATAGAGTTTGCAAATCATGCTCTGAAAGTAGAAGGATCCGTCTGTTTAATTACACACTGTTGCACAAATCCTATCAGCAGGTTCATCATCAAACTTATTCATCTTGAATATGTGCAGAGGAACAACTAACACTTTGTTTTGGTCTCTTGTGCATATGTCTGGAAGGCTGCTTGGTGTTTCTCACAAGCAGACTTCTTTAAAGTTAAGAAATTGGACTATCTGGTCTCCATTTGTATTTGAGCAATAGCCATTCAGTATATTTACATTCGGTAATTGTCTCTTTCTATGAAAATTTATATTATTAATGTTCATTTCCCATGGGAGATTCAAACAGTCCACATATGCAGGAGGATTTCACAGGAAAGGATGCATGTAGTCCAGCGTTATTGCTTTGAATTTTATGTTATTTAAATGAGCCTCACAGTTTACAGTTCACTTTCCCACAGCTGTATCAGAACTGTGTCAAGTAATGCAAATCCAATATTTCATACTGCTGCTGCTTCACACTAAAAGTACTAGCCAAATAGGGGCTTTTATTGTAAAGCAGTAATGGGAAAGGCACTGTGTTTTTTACAGAAGTTAGCACTGACCCCAATTATTTCTCAAAAAAGCTATAAGACAGCAGTCAGTGTTGAAATTAACATTTTTTGACAGTGGATCAGTTCTTAATGGAACAAGAAGAATGAGCCACAGTGAGCTGTTAGATGAAGAGCTGCAGACGACATCATGGCATGATGGAGGAAGTGCAATTACTGATTGGCTTCTTTATCAAAAACAAGGTGAGTGTGTTGTAAACAGATACAACAGTTGTTCTTCTATTGTATTTCTGATAAAGCAGCTGCTCGAGGAGTGTTGATGTAGTAACAGAACCCAATTGACGTTACCATGGTAACCATAGTCATCACCTAATCAATCAGGACTGAAATCTTAAGGATTATAAATGTAATCACCTGTTCTTTCTGGCTTCAGTAACTGGCAAATATGCCAGTAAACTCCAGGCTTCAGAAATGGTTAAGTAGTGTCACAGATGCTTCTTCCATATTTTCTTCCATATTTCTTCAGTTTATGTTCTGAATAGACCTTTGATTGTTGCAATCAAATAAAACAAAACAATAAAGTAAAATATCAAAAAAGTGCACACATTGTATGCAAACTTGGTGCAAAAGTTTCACACATCACCAAACTCTTTCTGTTCATGCAGCCAGTATATGTCTGGAAAAACCTATTAAAACACAAACCCACATTACACATAAACACCAGAGCCACAGACACTCATTCATAACACACACGCGCATGCACAGACAGGTAAACACTGTCTATCAAAA